GTTACCCACCTCCTTACAACTTCCCTCACTTCTTGGAACTTCTAGAAAGCCCTTGGCACCAGATTTTTACTTTTTATTATTTTTGTTTTTGAATTTTTCCTGTTTTGTGATATAAGTCACATCTTCAACTTCAACTCTTAGAACTGCTGAGATCTAAACCTCTTTAGATATGTTCTTAAGCTCCAAACCTTTATTTCTTCCTATGAAACACTTTTGCCTAGAAAGGCAGAATTAATATCCTCAAAGTTCTGGCTGCCCTCTCTGCACGTCCCCACCCTTCCACCTGCACCTCCTTTGGCCCAACATACACTGCTTGGGGCCTGCCATCCTCACCCCCTCCCTGCCTCAAGCAGCTGGCCAACTGGTCCTCTCAATTGCTGTCTCTCACATCATCTCTTCTGAGCCCGTCCCTCACTTCAACGCTGCCTCATTTTAAGCCTTCGTCGTTTCTTCCCTGGATTTCTGCACTGCTAGACTTCCCAGCTCAGCTACCCACCCCAGCCACTACTGTCTTAATTTAGTGTCCCCTTGTCTAAAATCATTTGGTTAAAACTGTAGATTACTACGGCATCTGGTAACTGTCATGTGTGAAACTTGCTTGCTGTTTCTGCCTTACCAYCCTCCAAGTGACCACATGTGCTCTGAAACAATAGAAGATATGTGTCATGTCTCTCATGCCAACCTGCCTCTGCCTAGGCATGTTCCTCATATCAGAAACTCCCTTTTCTCATATTTGCTTGGTTAATATCTATTCAAATTTCCTTTTTACCTTTCCCTTTTTCTTTGCAGTGTAGGGCTTTCAACCCAGGATCTTGCACATGCCAAGCAAGTGCTCTTACCACTGAGCTACACCCCAGCCCTCTTGTTCACTTTTTAAGACCATAGCTTTTTTTTTTTTTTTTTTTTTTTTTTTTTTGCGGGGGTGGAGAGTACCAGGGATTGAACTCAGGGGACTCGACTTCTGAAACACATCCCCAGTCTTATTTTGTATTTTACTTAGAGACAGGGTCTCATTCAGTTGCTTAGTGCCTCACTGTTGCTAAAGCTGGCTTTGAACTCCCTGTCTCAGCCTCTGGAGCCACCAGGATATAGGCGTAAACCACCACGCCCGGCTAATACCATGGCTTAACTCRCTTTTTTTTTTTTTTAGGAAATCTTCCTTAAACTGATCTATCTCTCGACTGTTCCTAAAACTACCAGTTCATGATGTGAGGAGGGCTTCCATACAAACTGGGATTTTTATCTTTATCAAAACTCACCACACGATAGTGTCACTGCTTACTGATTTTCCCCTCCAGCAGTAGGCAGACTGGAGCTGTATGGAGCTCATCTTCTTATCCCAAGGCTTAGTATGCAGACCCAGTGCTCAACTGTGTTTGTTGGGTGAAGGAACAGATTCAAGGGGGGAACCTGTGTCCCAAAGATGCTTTTTGGCTCTGAGCCTTGTAACTCTGAATATCCTTTCTTTAAGCTGTTTTGAAATACATTGTACATTATCATTATCTATAGTTACCTGACTGTGCAAAAGACCTAGGCCCTGTAATCTCACTATGTTTCCTTAAATGCTACCGCATTTGAGTTTTACTTTCCAGGGGACACCTTCTAGGTGGGAAAAACTACTGGCCTCTTTAAAGAGAATATCCAGTTGGGCTGGGCTTGTGGCTCAGCGGTAGAGCACTCACCTAGCATGTGCAAGGTCCTGGGTTCGATCCTCAGCACCACATAAATAAATAGAATAAAGTTATTGTGTTCAACTACAACTAAAAAATAAATATTAAAAAAAGAGTATCCAGTGTCCTTTGCTAATAAACCGTTCATTCAAAATAGAAGCCCCAAACTTGACCATGACCTTCAAAGACCTGCCAGATTGCTGCACCCCACTTCCATGGCCTCCTTGCTCATTATCAAGAACACAGGGCCTGCTCCCACCTCGTGGTCTTCATAATTGCCCAGAATGCTAAAATGTTCTTCCTCCAGACAGATGCCCATGTTACCTTCTCAGCATTGCCTTCTACAGCTCCCCCTAGAACCTCATAATTCCTAGAATCCTGCTTCCATGTTTCCCCATTTCCTAGAGTCCTGCTTTCCTATTCCATTTCCCCCACTGCATCTGTCATCTGGCACACCGTGTATTCCAACCATTTCTCTCAATAGATGTCAGCAGCCTGTGGGTAGGAACTGTAGTCTGTTTCATTCCCTGCTGAACTCCCAGCATCTCATTCCTCGTACACAGCAAGTGCTCAGTGATTGATCTGCACACTAGGTCATGGTTTGCAATCTTTTAAAAAGCAAACAGAAAAAGGACAATCCAACTAAAAAAAAAGTGCAAAAGAGTCGAATAGACGTGTCTCTAAAGAAGGTATATAAAAGGCCAATAAGCACATAAAAATACATCATTTGTCATGAGGGAAATGTAAATCAATTCTATAATGAAATATCACTTCATACCCATTGGCAAAACCATTATTTAAAAAAAAATAGAAAATAACAAGTGTATGTAAGAACCCTTAGGCATTGTTGGTGGGAATGTAAAATGGTGCAGCGCCCGTGGAAAACAGAATTACCATAAAAAAAATTAAACAGAATTACCACATAACCTAGCAATTCTACTTGCCTCCTATGTATGAAAGAACTGAAAGCAGTAACTTGAGGGGATATTGGTGCACCTATGTTCATAAAAGCCTTATTATTCACAATAGACAAAAGGTGAAAGCATCTCAAGCCTCCATGAGTGGATGAATGGATAAACAAAATGTGAGAGACACATAAGATGGAAATTTAGACTCATGAGGCAACATGGATGAACCCTGATRACATTATCCTAGGTGAAAAGAGACAGACATAAAAAAGACCAATATTACACCATTCTACTGATGAGGTCCTTAGAGTGGTTAAATTCATGAAGAAAAAAAAATATAAAAAGTGGTTGTCAAGAGATCAGGGGAAGGAAGAATGGGGGGGGGGTTAGTGTCTCAAGGACACAGAGCTTCAGTTTGAGAAGAGGAAAAAGTTTCGGAGTTGGATCCTGGTGATGATAGCATAAATACGTAGATATAGTCAATGCCACTGAACTGTACACCTAAAACTGTACACCATACAATGACAAATTTTATGTATGTCAATAATTTTATGTATATTCATGCTGTATACCACAATGAAAAATAAAAGGAATAAAGATAAAAAATAAAAGCTCCTGCCTGAAACTCTAATAAGAAGCCTACCTCATAAGGCAGATATGAGTGAAGCTACTGAGGCTGAGGCAGGAAATAGAGGCCCAGGCTCTGCTCACTTTGCCCGGTACCTCATTGCTGCCTCCTGGGGCATGGACCCCACAGAGATTCAGAGCCATCATAGAGCAGGGACAGGGCTCCACCCTAAAGTTCACCACACTAGCTCCACAGTTCTTATGACAGGAAGGTAAACATCACCCTTGGCTCCATTTCTAGAAGGAACTTAGTTAGCAAAAAAGGAAAAATGCCATCACTAACTGGCCTTAGGACAAATTCCACATTGACTTGTTTTTAGAGAAATCACTGTCTTTCCCAGTGGCAGGGAAGAAATACCAGAGGAAAGAACAACATTAAGTCACTGACACTCACACTCCATAATCATTAATACCTTACATTTTCTGAGCCCTTTCCCATAACAGCCAAATTCTCAAAATAATCCTGTCAAGTAGGAGTGAAAGCAGTATAATCTCCAATTCACAAGTGAACAAACATATGAAATTCACTGGACCTTATCCATGCAGTGACAGAAGAAGAGTTGCCCTTGGGATAATCGTCACTAACATTTATTAGGGATTTATTAATTAAGACACTGGCTCAAAGTTTTCCACAGACTATTTAATTTCATATATTTAATCAGCCTGTTAATATCCCTATTCATGCCATAGAAAAGTAAGGCTCAAATAAGAAATAACTCTCCCTAAATTAAATAGCAGATAAGTGGTAGATTTCACCGGGGCCATCTTATCCTAGAGCCTGTATCCCTAGCCATGATTATTCTATCTTGCCCATTAGCACCCTTGATTCTGGTTCTTTGGGATGGGCCTAACACAATGTTTCCTTCAGCCCTGACACAGTACAACTGGTGAATCCCTCGGTCACTGTGTTTTCCAACTCTAAAATGGGCTAGTACTTGTAAAATTAATCAGTACTCTTATTTTCTAAGCCTAAATGTAAAAAGACACCATTTTTTTTAGACTAAGAAGAGATTCCTAGATCTTTTAAAATTATATAAATTTTTTTTGTACAACAATACCCTTAAGATCATTAGCATAGTCACATGTGGGTTATTTGGTTCACTGTCCCCTGGTTTTCCCAGGGAATGTTTCTCCATAGGATTAATAATCTGTTGATAGATAGAGACTGTTCATAATCTGCTGACTGTTCCCTATCCTTTTTTGAGGGATTCTTCAGAACTTTCTGAGGATATGTCTGCTTTATTCTCCAGAAACTAGAGAGAGGAGACATGCTTTGTGGTTGATTAATAGGAGGTCATTCAGTCTGCAAGGCCACCCCATGGGCTGCAAGGGCTTTAGGCCAACTGAAACAAATATTAATTTGGAACAGTGTCAGGCACAGGCTCCAACTGAACAACTCTAATGAATAGGCAACGGAAAGAAAGGGGCAAAGTCGTTGCAGGGCTCTGAGCCAACAGCTGGAGCTATTTCCACCCCTCATGAGAAGCTTCTGGATCACTGCTTTCACAAAGACCTAGAAGTGGCTTCTTTGAAACCACCAAAGATTAAGTATACAACTCTCTAGAGAAAACCTATAGAGAAGGATGGTGATTTATTTACTTGGTTACAAATRTAAACGCCAGCTCACTCAACTAGTGCTACCCTCCTGGAAGGTGTGAGGCCCTGAGCATGGACCCAGCACCCCGCTCACTCTGGGATGATGCTTTTCTCACCTCCACTCCTCACCTYGATTAAGCCCTGACATGCTATGGTGGGGCTGTTCCTCTCCCCTGAGAACCACGGAGGGGGGTCTTACCGAGTTCTCCTTTAGCTGCAGCCCTTCCCCGTTAGGGAGGGAGGACCGTCTCTTGGAGTTCCTGTTTGGGGTTGAGGTAATGGCCCCTGCTTTCTTCTTCACAGTGAGCACCTCACAGCTGGCTTGGTCTTCATTGTGTGTGCTCTTCCCGGCATTGATAACCCTGGAGAAGAAGCCAGAAAAGCTGATCAGACAGAGTGGTTCCCGGAAAGCTGAGCATCTCCCTCTCAAGGGTCAGCCAAGGGGTCTCCAGAGCTGGCAAAAAAAAAAAAAAAAAAAAAAAAACTAAAGCACCACTTAAGGCAAAGGACCTTAGGGTCTCTATATTTTATCCTCCTGAATAAACAGATTTTTAAGAAATGGAATTATATTAGCCCCCGCCGGAACACGCACTGAAAAAGTTGTTCTGAGATTGGCTCGCATTCACAGGTGTTTGATAGACGTGATCAACTCCACCACCCACTCTAGTGAACACAGGAGGCAATCACTCCTTCAGGTTCATTTGGAGCCTTAACATTGTGGCAGTTACCAGGATGACAGACTGGCTGGCTCAGGGAATTGTGTTTCCTCTAAGTGATAAAAGAGGAAATCCACCTTCGATCTTAGCAACCAACATGGTGGCAATTTACAGCACGTTGTGAACTCTGAGCAAATAAAGAATCACACTTCACTATGCTGTGTCCATTTTACTCACACCCAGGGAAGTGAATGGATCAAAAGTGTATTCTTTTAAAAGCATTAAATTTTTAGTAACTGGGGATTGGATGCTGGCCTTGTGCATGCTAGGCAAGCTAAATCACCAAGCTAAATCCTCAACTCTTTTTTTTTTTTTAAATTTATGTGTTTATTTATTTAGAGACAGGGTCTGCGTAAGTTACTCAGGTTGGCTTTAAACTTATAATCCTTCTGCCTCAGTTTCCCAATTCACTGGGATCACAGGTGTGGTGCATGGCTATTTTAAAAGTATTTTAATCCTCCATCTTTTGTCCTGTAGAATAATGCTCATCACACTGGGCTATAACACATTCTGGTTTGGACACTAAACACCCATCATAAAAATAATACCACAGCACGTAGACTTGGCCTTGTCTAATTACTAAGCACAGGGATGCTTCAGAAAACCACAATGTGTCTTCCATACACCGTCCCTGTGTTAGGCGACTGAATACTCATCTTCAGAACCATGATGTTATTAAACAATTAAGCAGCAGCTAGAATAGATTTCCTGAAAGACAACTCTCCTTGATTTGCCATTGGTTGTGTTTCCTTTCTGAAACTTCAACAAGGTCAAAGTAGCCGACAGTGTGGAGTTCACAGAACTCAGTGGCAAGGAAAAAAAAAAAAAGGGTGGTTTTGGTATTGTTTGTTTTCATTTAAGATAAGCCAAATGGAAATTTACTCTGTGAGTGTGGTGTGTACACTGCTCTGTTCATACAGATATACACCCTCCTACCAGTTAAGTAAAAAATTATCATTCTCAAATGACTTTTAAAAAAATTCCCCCTTAATTATAGACTCGAATAAGCTGCGGAAATAGTAGAGTCTTATGTACCATCTTTCCCCAGTGGTAACTATGGTAAAATATCAAATCCAAGAAATCCAAGTGGATATAATACCATCGCCCAGACTACAGACCTTATTCAGATTTCACTAGTTTTTCCATCAAATAGTTTTGAGTATTAAAAATCATTTACCTTCTGTCTGTCCTCTCCTGTCCTTGGTAGTGACATTAAACTCCAAAGCTGACCTAACTTCACCAAGAGGTCCCAGAAACCTTACTTTATGCATGAAAAACCCAGGGCCCTGGGAGACTGTGACCCGCACAAGGTCACAGGGCTAAATGCAGCAGAGCTGTGAACACACTTCCAAGTCTGGAGCTCTTTCTGCCCCAGCTCTCCGTTGAGTTATTTTCCTACTGTGCACCTATTCCTGGCGGCACGTGGTTCAGAGGTCTGTGCTGCTGTGACTCATCAAAGCAGGAGAGCCGTGAAAGAAAAATTACTGGTGACCTTACTTTGCCGTATCACACTGAACACAGCGAAATATCAAAAAGCCAGAACTGCCTATCTAGTGGCCACACGGCAGCCCCTACCCTACAAACCTGTCTGTTTAGCCAGACAGTTGATTATTATCCAGATAATAAAATACTAACAAATATCATTATCAAAATATCAATTTAAAAATCAAGCCCTTTAACACACACATAACTCTTATCCACCACCACCCCCTGCCCCCATCTTTTGTGTRGTGCTGGACTTGAACTCAGGACCTTGTACTTACTTGTTAGGCAAGTGCTCTACTACTGAGCTACATCCCTGACCCCTTACCCCATATTTTATATCATTTCAAATTCCATACTCTAGACAGCTTTATTAGAAAATCCGGATTCTTCTCAATTGTGTTCTCCAAAGTGCAATCACTATCAACTCAAACATTTCATTTTGCTCTTCAAAGGCAAAACGCTTTTTTTTWAATCAAGTGTAAAGAAAATCTTTAATTCATCTAAAAATAAATCGATGAAAACTTGTTTTCCCAAATTGTGGAGTTAATACACTCACTACTTGGCATTTGTATCAGTAGCTACATTCCGTTCTTGTCTCTTGCTTTAGTGTGACATTGGAGCTCCCTGAGAGCAACAGGTACTTTTCTTCATCTAAATCATACCTGCCCGTGATGCTTATTTTGAACACTTAAAATGTACTGGGACATGAATCATCATACTTTCGGTGATGTTATTTTCTAATCTCTTACAAAGAAGGAAAATATTTCCTTTGAAATTAAACTAAAGGTAATGGACTGTGAGATGAAGAGCCTGGGGGTCTCTCTGCAGAACATGACACATAGCAGGTGCTATGGATTACACGAAGGAATGAACCAGACAGAAATTAACCCTGATACTTCCTGATGGGAGAATGCCACAGTCTGGCTGGGCACAAATCACGAGTTACTCAAGCAGGAACAAACTTTATTTCCAAACTCCACCAGCACACTCCCCCGGAACTCTGCACCCGCACCCAAGGTGGACAGTAAAGGTCTAATATACAATTGAATCAATCCAGCATCATCTTCATGGCTCGCCTCTCAACCAATACTATTGGCAAAATGCCAGGGGCCATTCCGACTCCGCTGTGGCTCTCAGCAGGAGAAGAGCTATGTTATCTTAAACTTGTTGAAGGCTGTCTACACGCCAGAGATTATTGTTAGCATTTCATATGTAGCAATTACTCATTTCATCCTCTTGACAACTCTAGGAAGTAGCTGTCACCATTAGAGTCTTTTAAAAGATAAGCATAGTTAGTGAGTGGCAGAGTTTAGTCAAGTTACTTCTGCAAATCTCAGGTCCTTAGGTGTATTTCATGAATCAAATTCAATGAACTGCTAAATTTGTGTGTTGGGCAGGAGGAATTTTAGTCACTTAAAGAATTAGGTCATTTGAACATTTTGACCAAGCTATCCCACTCCTTGGTTTATACCCAAAGGACTTAAAAACAGCATACTACAGGGACACAGCCACATTAATGTTTTTAGCAGCACAATTCACAATAGTTAAGCTGTGGAACAAATCTAGGTGCCCCTCAATAGATGAATGGATAAAGAAAATGTGGTATATATACACAATGGAATATTACTCAGGCATAAAGAAGAATGAAATTATAGCATTTCTGGCAAATAGATGGAACTGGAGGTTATCATACTAAGTGAAATAAGCCAATCCCCAAAAACCAAATGCCGAATGTTTTCTTTGATATAAGGATCCTGATTCATAATGAGGATGAGGGGGAGCATTGGAGGATCAAACTTTAGATAGGGCAAAGGAGAGGAAGGGATCAAAGGGGGCTTGGGGGTAGAAAAACAGCAGTGGAATGAAATGGACATGATTATCTTAAGTACATGTATGAAAACATGAATTGTGTGACTTTACTTTGTGTACAACCAGACACATGAAAAATTGTGCTCTATTTGAGTAATATGAATTAAATCACATTCTGCTGTCATATATAAATTAGAATAAATAAAAAAAGAAAAGAATTGTGTAAGTTGAAGTTAGGACTAAATTAAAAAGGAAAAATGTTTGACGGTGAAGGGGAARGAAAGCTATTGTTTCATCAATACAGAAAGTTTATACCCACTTTTTTTTTTTTTCAAAACATAGAAGAACAGCACATATCTTTCTAGGGAGAGAGAAAAGTAGCAAACTTACTTAATTTGTGTATTGTTTTAACCTACCAACCTACCTTCAACTGAATCACCCCTAGGTTTTCTTTCTGTCCTTGTAAAAATAGGTAAGCAGAATTTCAAAGACTCAGAAGTTAAAAGTCCTATGTGTATGTGATAGATGTAGCTTAAAGTTATGACTTACATACCACGTGATCTTGAGAACATAAAAACAGCRGCAAGTGATCCATTCTGCACTACTCTCATATTCTTGGGAAACTCGTTTTCCTTCTTTCGATTGGTAAAGTACACTAGTCCCTTATTTTGATAACCAGCTCCACTTGAATTTTAGCAGAAAATTCCTGCTTTTAATTGCAATTTTTAAATTATGAAGTTATCTGATTTCTCAACTTTTCATAAACTTGACTTCAAGGACATTCATCTGATATGAGAACTTGCATCAGGGTCCCCATACCTAAATACAGGCAAGTAAATATCCTCAAGAATTCTTAAATAGTGAGCCCTTGCCACAAAGATCACTGGACCCAAGCACTCGTCATTGTGGCTGTTTTCAAAAGGATTTGCACACAACAGTGAATCAACAGACAGTCAATCATTGACATGGTTTGAAGGATCCTCCAGTGCCACCTATTAGGTGTCAAATCATTACTCACCAACTCCTCCTTCCCCTCCAGAGGCACCCAGAAGAGCAGGGACAAACTAGTTCAAACTTGCTCTCTGCTAATTCCCAGCTCTAGCTGTGGGTTCCTGGGCAGGTTACTTTGTCCCTCTAAAAGGGAGATGCTAATAATCACTTCCTGTCATGGAAGAGTTGTGAGAATTAAATGGTCTAGCTAAGAGCACTCAACAGTGCCTGCATGCTGAGAACACTCAATATGCTATTTAATATAAAAGATCAAATACAAAAATAGCTGCCTCTTCTGTTGGACCCAGGGGACTTTATACAGAGAGGGGACTTTATACAGCCAGGGGACTTAGAGGAGAACC